CTTAGCCCTGTCTTATGAAAACAGATAGGTACCCTCTAAGGTGACAAATGAAGAAAAGCACTTATTCACTTCATTTAAAGTACAGCATTTCAAAATACTTTTTTTTTGGGGGGGAAGGGGATGTAAAGATTTCATCAGTCTATTTTTTTCAGAGCTAATAAGCATATATTACAGGGTAATTTGATGCAGAGACTACATGGTGAATGTTATCCTCTGCCTTTTGGAAGCAATTGTAATAGATGGTCAGAATGTGCCTTTTGTTATTTCACTAATATATTTACAAAATAAACTATAACCAGATTGAGTCTAATCATAGGACTATATCTAGACTCAGCCCGCTAAGTTGCGGTGCATTCCTGACTCACTGAAAAAATATTGGGTAACTTGATATTTGAGGATCTGCTGACTGCCTGAGTAGTCCCATGTACCTCAAACAGAGTAGTTTCAATGAATATTCCATATCCTGGAGTTACAAGTTCATCTCTCCAGAAGAATAAAAATATATCCTGCTGTTAAGGAAAGAATAAAAGTAAAGGAAAATATGCTTCAGCAGAGGTAACTTCAGTCTATCAGTATAGAGCAGCTTTGATTTGATTACAGCTTTGACTTTCCTAGTGGGCTGCTTTGGTCATACACAATTTTTTCAGTCCTGATGTATCAGTAATAAAACTTGATCTGTCATGCAAAAACCAAGAATTACTTCTAAATTTGCTTTTATGGTTACATACCTGACTGGGAGCCTCCAGTGATAAAAAGCTATTTCTACTTTCCAAGTAAAGGCTAGTACCTCCTGAGAGCAGCTTCAACAGCTATTCACAAGGTAATGCTATGATACAGAATGCTTCAGCTTGAGGAAGATTACAGTCACAGAAATCATCAGACTGTGAAAAACACCAACTAGATTCTTTCTGTATGAAATAGCTTTAGCAAACTGTAAGCCACTGGCCAACAGAAGCTGATGTTCTCTTGGCCTGGTTTCGGCTGGGACAGAGTTAATTTTCTTCCTAGTACTGGGCATAGTGCTGTGTTTTGGATTAACACCCTGATGCTTTAGTTGCTGCTAAGTAGTGCTTATGCTAGTCAAGGACTTTTCAGCTTCCCATGCTCTGCCAGGTGCACAAGAAAAGTGGGAGGGGGCACAGCCAGTATAGTTGATCCAAACTGACCAAAGGGCTGTTCCATACCATATGGCATCATGCTCAGTATAGAAACTGGGGGAAGTTGGCCATGGGGCAGCAATCACTGCTCGGGAACTGGCTGGATATCGGTCAGCGGGTGGTGAGCAATTGCATTGTGCATCACTTGCTTTGGATATTATTATTATATTGTTATTATTATTTTACTTTATTTCAATTATTAAACTGTTCTTATCTCAACCCAGGAGTGTTTCTCACTCTTACTCCTCCAATTCTCACCCCCATCCCGCAAGGGCAGGGGGAGTGAGCGAGCGGCTGCATGGTGCTTAGCTGCTGGCTGGGGCTAAACCACGACATCTCTGAATTTGGAACAGTTGCCCATCGTGAATGTTTATATTTTCAGTATCTACAATTTTTGAGAGAAGCTTCTGACATGCAATTGGCAAAAGATGATCCTGCATCCAAAAGCAGCCCAATGCCAGTTTGCAGCAGTGGCCATTTTATTTTAAGCAGACAACATTTTGCCACCCAACTGAAAAGCTTGAGTGTATTTGGATGTCTATTTTCAACCATGATTGGGCAGATGTTCATAGGGGAGCCAGAGCCACACAAGAACACTTCCCCTGCTGAATTTCTGGAATGTGTCCAAAAAAGTGCCAAATTCACATGGCCCCAGTCCATGTTTCTGTCCTGAAACATACTAAAACTTTTAACTTTCTTCCTTGAAAGCTCAGGAAAGTTGTGAACACACTGAAGATGAGAACTTCCAACAAAGTCTTTAGAAATCACAGAGACACAGATACAAGTTTTTCCCACAGTCTGTTACAAGTTTAATTGTGCAAAAATAGTCATCAAGACTTCAGCTTTGTTGTGAACTGAACACAATTCGGGTGATGTACATGTATGGAAAGAGATACTACTGTAATTAGAGCAAATACACCATAATTGTTGAGACAACCAGTGGTTCGATACGCTGAGATACTGTTCTCAAGTGATTCAGACAACCTGTATTTAACTACTGTACATCAAGAGAATCAAAAAAATGGAAAATAAAAGGAAAGCTAGTAGCAGACTAATGAAGTTTAAGACTGCACTAACTCAGAAGAACATTAAAAAATGGTTTAGATAAATTGCCCAGTGATGGCCGAGAATTAGTCTGCGAAACTGCAGGCGTGAAGTGTAACTTCTCTACATTCAACATTCTACAGTATATATTGTGTTTCAACAAAACAGAAGACTTTCCTAATGCCGATATTTCTTTCAAGCACAGGAAGATGAAGCATTAACAGCCTTTAAAATTGTATTTCAATCTATGAGACACCAGTGGTGTTGCAAAAGAAATAGATGAGAAAAAAAAAAAGACCAAAAAAATTTCAGAGCTCAGTCCTCTGGCTCTACCACTTAATAAAACAAAAAAAACCCCACTAAAATAATACATATGGACAAGAAAGGCA